GCACCCCCCCCCCCCCCCCCCCCCCCCGCTCAAAGCCACAATCCAAAATCAAGAGATTAATTCAGTCTGAATGAAAAACATATCTCCCTGAGTTACTTAAGCATTGCTTCCTTATTATATCTTGTCATTTTACTAGCTCTTCAGTCTTTGTAGAGTTTTTCAGGTAGACATTACTGTAAATTGGCATTAAAAAAATTTAAAAAAAATAATTGTCCATGGCTGGGATAGGATGCTTTTGATAATTACTTTCATAGTTCTTTGCAACATGAGGTTTGTGCTGTTATCTCAGTTTTTCCAGCTGGAGAACCTGAGGCACAGGAAGGATAAGAACTTGCCCCCTCACAAGGAAACTAGCAAGTGAGCCACAAAGCAAATGCAAGCCCATCTGTGGCAAGCCAGGCCTCTCAGATGTCTATTTTTGTATAATCACATTAGGAAAGTGTCACTAGGTGGTAATTGACAAAATCTGTTAGTGTTCCTCAACTTTGTAGGAGTAAATGAGAAGTCTCTCATTAATTGGCTTCTAAACTATAACATTTTTCATGAAGTTTTTCATAGCCAACCCTACTTTTCTAATATGTGAAAACAATCTGAAATTATAACCAAAAAGGAAGCCTGAGAAAAGCCTTCAAAAAAGACTTTTATATACTTCACAGTAAATAGGAAAAGTGCAAACTAAAGATCTTTTCCTTTTAAAATCTTGAATCTTAATCTGTCCTCTGGTGTTTGTTGGCATGCCTTTGTGTAAGCCTTTTTTGAGTTTTGTTCAGGGTAGAAATTAACTTACATTAAAAAGTATTTATCTTGTCAAAATACAGACATTTCGAATTCATTGGGGTCTAGGATCAAACTGCAAAATTACTAGAATAAACGGAAATAGTCAGAAGTATGAGCTATGAAAGAGATGCTTAACCTTTACGAATATGAAGCTCTGGGCCCAAAGAAAGGAAATCAAGATCTTGGTCACAAAATGCCAGTACCTTTCCATTTGCAGTGAATTTCAGCTTACCTCTTTGGTACCAACCGCTGCTTGTTCATGTAACCAAATATAGCATTCACATAAGAGCTATGGGAAATTGTGGGTTGAGAAGCAATATTATTCCAAAACCAGCGTAATTTCAGGTGTTTAATAATCTGAAGCGATTTGAGATTTGCAGCGCTTTTGGCGTTATTTCATCCTCAGACTGTTCTACTCCACTCTGGGTGATGGAATTTTGCTGATTAATACCAGTTAGTGACCCAGGCTACTGTTTTCCTTTACACTTGCTTATCCCTCATCTGCCTGTCTGTGTACACTATACTACCTCTTATTATAACCTGTGGATCAGCTTTGAATATTTCCAATTTTTTAATTTCCAGGTTTGCCAGGTTTCCTAATAGCTGAATTGGTTTAGTCCTTATCTGCATCATCAAAAATTCAACATGTCAGACACCAGTTTGGTAATTATTCTTTAGTGTACAGGACCAGAGTGTGAGGTTTTGCTTGGGTTTTTGTTTAGTTGGGTTTTTTTTTTAATAATTTGATTGTGAGCCACAGGTTTCTTCTCCAAAGTCCCTAAGATGCTTCCATTCAAAATGTAGTCAAAACCAATTACTTAATTTTGTAAATTAATTCATCTGTATAGAAAATCAGCATTTTCCAAGACTTTCTGTGTCTTTTGATAATCTGAGTAAACTGAGAAGATTTGCCTTGGAGTTAGCTGTATGTTCCAGTGGTCTTAGGCAGAAAGAGTTTTATTTCTATTTGATGATAAACTAAATGGAAACAACAGCCTGCAAGAGAGCATTTCCCAAGTCCATCATAATCATTCAGACCATGCTTTTGTTTTGTTGGTAAACATTGTTCTTTAATTCAAAAAACAGTTTGTACTGGCCTGGGGAAGCCTGTCTCATTTGATAATGGGCTCTGAATCCAGTGGATTATTGCAGGGATTTTATCTTGCGGTAATCTCCAGGGAGAAATGTACAAACAGCTGGGAGAGCAAGGAGGAGCTGCATTGTGCGGCAGGAGTTTGTGGAGCAGAATTGTGGGGCGCTGGAGCGGATCTCAATACCAACATGAATCTTTTCTGTTTTTCTCTGGTAAGTGTACACACACATGTTTTTATTTAGTGGGTTGCTGAGTTGATAAACTCAACTGGTGGGTGTGTTTGGATGGAAAAAAAAATCAAGGTGTTATATCACGAACGGTGCAGGGGTTGTGTAACAACAGCGAGTCTCTCCAGCATAGATGAAAGAGTTTATGTATGAGAAACTATACATAGCAAAATATGATACAGTAAAAATAAGATGAAGCAAAAAGCATATAGTAAATGTACAGTGCACTACCTATTACAAAACCATGAACATTTAAACATGCAGCATTTAACCCTAACACAGCAAAATGCCTCGTATGTATGTTAAAATTACTAAATATATGTATGCTATAATTTGCTTGAAGCTAGTTTTTTTTGAGATAATAGTATCTGTTCGCCTTCTTTAATAGTTTGGGAGAACTGCTAGAACTTCTCAAGAATTAGTTTTCTGTTAGCCAAGCATGACTACACAGTCATCTGGGCTAATCCAGTCATATGGCAATATTTACTCACAGACAGAGTTGATTTAAGACCCTCTTCAAGGTTTTGGGTTTTTTTTTTCCCACTTTCTCTCTCTCTCTTTTTTTTAAATTTCTCCTTCCTTGCCCCAAGACAACTGGTCAGAATGAACAGGTAAATCAGGATAGGAAATCCATGGAAACTGTTTCTGTTTTCAAAGCTTAACCATCTGCTAATACCAATGCTCAGTATTAGTAATGGTAATTAGATGAGTCTATTTGCTGTATTTACACAGCACAGTAGATCTGTTTGCCTATTTTTCATCTTTTGTCCAGATTTTTAGTATATCTTCCCCATATGTTTAGAAAGAACAATAAAAATCAGTATTCAAACTGCACTGGCACAAATTCAAATAAGGGAGCTGCTTTGCATAAGCCGTTGTTTCCTATTGCTAATGCTATCTTAGTGCAGAGTACTGCTGTTCTCCAGGTCATAAGGATTAATAGCTGTTTTGGAGTACTTAAAGAAAAATGCAGTGGTATTTTAGGATTCTGTGGCAAGAGTCTCTCATAAAAAAAAATTCTCTGGGAATTCAATTACACTTTTCATTGTAGTTTACTGTGAATACCTGTGTATTTGTTCCAAGTTAACAAGGGGTTTGTGGTATAATCTGTAACAGCTTGAAAATCCTTGTTTCTGAAGTTCTTTGGGACAGAACTGTTCTATCAATATTTTATTGTTCCATTGGGGCAGCTTCTTACTTTCTATGTAGTTCACTTTTTAAAAAGGTGTTGAGCCCCGTATCAGTTGAGAAATCAGCATTTAGACAAAATGCAAGGTAGATTATGTAGGTGAGAGTAGGTCAAGTTGCAGTTTCTCTGTTAAGCTGGGTATGCAGCAACTGGAGTCTCTGTGAGAGAGATAATGACTGCGGTAATAATGAATGGTTCAGACAAGTGAAAGCTAGTGCCATGATCGTTTCTATAATGAAATAATTAGTTCTGTTTAAAGATTGCTGCTAAGAAGATAACCGCTGTTCTTTACAAGCTTTCCATTGGAGCCATTCTGTCTGCTTTGGTAATCCTTCAAGCACCTAGCAAAACACCTCACAAGTTATCCAGATCTAAAGATAATTCATAGGTCACTAATGTATTTCATAAACCTCAGAGTCCTATGCAGTCCTGCCTATGCATGCGACACAGTCCAGTTGCTTTCTGTAATCAGATCGTCTAGCTCAGAGATGAGCTAGTGCTCCAAGTATGTACACTAGCTACTTCCACTCTGTCGGCCTGGGACTGTGAAGGCAACAAAGTGGTTGAAGTATCAATACACAGGTATTTTTTTCCTCAAGAGAGTCACGTCAGAAATAATGCATGGCAACAAAATAATTAGGCTTTAAAAACAACTTTGAAAGACACTGGAGGAGCCAGTTCCTTAGGAGATGCAAACAGGCACTGATGAACAGAAATCATGGCTGATTTACATCAAGTGAACATCTGGAGTAACCGCTAAACCTGAAACCATGGAAGAGAAGTTTAGACTATTGGCAGACAGAACAAAAAGAGCTGTCCAAAAAATAGGATTCTCATGGAAGTATTTTCCTCACATAGACTGACAAGATTTCAGACTGCAACAAGTGTGTGCTTGTGTGTACATGTGTGTCTACATATGAATATATTTTTAAATGCATTGTTTTATAGCTCAGACAATAGTTTTGTACCCTCTGGAGTATAGTGGTTGAAGTTAGCTACAACCTGAGGGAATGACAAGAATATTCTGTTTAAAAACAGAGTAGAACCAGACTTCTGGCTGATCCAAGGTGGTGGAACACTGCAGTAGTTAAAGGAACATCTGTTTATGCTGTTGGATTTGACTCTCTTTGGGTTTGCTTTCATACCTGTCCATAAAACTGGGACATATTTTTAGCATGAGAGAGACAGTGTTATGGGCCAGCCTGGCAAGTGGTGATGTGGAGGCTGAAGACACTCAAGAGTCACAAGGTGGTTGTATGGACTTTGGAGCCTGGACTGGATTCTGCCCTTCCCAGGGATGCAGACAGAAATTATTCCAATCTGTTGCCACCTGGGAGCCCTTTGATCTCCTAGTATGAGTGCTCCAGCATGGGGTGTTTCCCCAGCTTTGTGTCCTTAGTTGACTTCAGAATGATTTGGTTTTTCAACTGAGATTAATTTCGCATCAGAATGATTACCTTGGTCTCAAGGGATTTGCAGACAAATTAGATTTGCCTTCAAAACCTTGTGTCCCTTTTCCATTTACAAAATGATCGAATGCATAAATGTCACTTCTTTTGTAGACATATCATGTTATAAGGTCAACCTTAGACCCTGAATTTCCAATGTCTTTTCCATCTTATGGTGCTTAACATGTCAGACAATTAAATCAGAACAATACTGTTTGTTTTACGGACAATATACAGAGAGGTGTCCAAATCAAGCACTGTTTCTGAATGAATTGCAAGAAATTATGTTTACAAACCATCTATTTGCATAGCCTGCCTAATAAATGTCAGCATCCTACAAATCTGAGAAATAAAAGGTATTATTGAATCATCAAGTCCTTTAGTTAAGGTAAAATCTTTATTTTTTTAAATATTATTTTCCTGAATCAGCTCTCCTATATTGAGGATATATACATGGGTGTTAGCTCCAATTCACCTGGAGCACTACCAGTTAATCCTGTCCTGGGTTATTCTCTTTTCTGATAGTATTTACTCCTGGAAGCAGCAGACATGTCTCCTTAGATGCATCCATCTTTGACCTCAGTTGTACACTTAGCCCAAATAACAGTTTTTTCATGTATTTCTCTACTTTTGGACCCACGAGGAAGGCAGAGGCTCCAACTCTATTGATAAAGTACACACATTCAGGAACTTGTCCAGGCATTAAGCCTCCTTGGCATGCAAGAACCTGTGTCTGTTCTAGCAAACCCTCCAAAACAAGGTGGCTGCATGCAACCTGCCTGTCAAGTATGGGTTTGATGGTGTTTTAACAACTTTGCCAAGGAGTTGTTTGGATGTCTGTTAGTTGACAAGTGCGGGCCAGGGACTGTTCTGGCAAGGGGCACCAGTGCAGGTGATCATGTTACCATACCCAGGTTCATTCTTGTCCATCATTTCATTTACTAAGAGAGGTACAGCCAGATATATTTCTGTTTCAAAGAAAACCCAAATTTCAGTAAACTTTCCTTAAGAAAGCAGATGTGAGGGGCATGAAAGACTTCCTTACACAAAACTATACTTAATGGCTAGATCCTACCTTCTTTGGCATTAGTAATGGAACTAATGAAGACAGGGAAGAATTTCAGATACTTAAGAGGTGCCAACATTTTTTAATTTCAGAAACCTGTGCGAGAAGGGCGGTAAGGCAAGGATACAACATTCCTAATCACAGGGTTGCTCAGATCAGTTATTCAAGTTGAGCACTGATCTCAGGGTTTAAAGCAAATAAGATCCCTCACATTTGTCTATTTGTCTTCCATATGGTAGCTTTCTAACCACATCTTTTGCTAGTAAAACATAAAGTTAAGTACTGATTGAAAGTCTAATCATCTTAGTGATTTTCAGTAGCATTGAACTAGTTATATATTTTATTTTGATAGTTGGTTTAAAGATGTGCTGGCAGCACAATGTAAAATATGTTACACCTAAAGTTATAAACTGAAACAGCCCTTGGCACTAACTAATGTTTCTATGGTGAAAGATGCAGAGAAAAGAAGCATTAATGAAAGCTGTAGAATAGATATATTACTAACTTTATGTTAATATTATTTAATCACATATATTAACTCCATATGTTAAAGAAACCATAGGGTAAATAGAAATATGCTAATGCTGCTGTGGCTATTGGGGTGTGATGTTACTTAGAAATGGATTTGACTTAAAAATATGTGTTTTAACAAAGAAGGATTAACTGAATGTGGAAAGACCATGCTCTATAGTATGAGTAGAAGAGATCTGAGTGGTTGAGCTCTGTAGTGCTTCCCATGTCATCATCTTCATATACTCCTTGTTCATTTTAGCTGGATTGCTATCATCCCACCATACACAGGAGTTCACATTTAAAGACTGAGCTGGAGAATGACCTGACTGCATTACTAAATGCACCTCTCTCCACCTTATGATCGATTTAGTCTCTTCATGCCATGATAATAATATCATGCAAAGAAAAGAGTTACAGACAATTATTTTCTTCTAGATCTGAACTAGGACCTTTTCTCCCATAAAACTCCTGAAGCAAAGGGCTTCAAAAGGCTTTCTCATCCCATGTAGGAGAAAGGAAATGTACTAATTACTCCAGAATTAAGTTAATGTTTTCTTCAGCTATCTTTCATATTGTTCTGTGATGTTTAGTGCGCTCAGGACTACTCAAAGAGTTCCAAGAGGACAAGGGGCAGTGGGTACAAATTGAAGCATAAGAGGTTTCAGCTGAATATGAGGAAGGACTTCTTTACTTTGAGGGTGACGGAGCACTGGAACAGGCTGCCCAGGGGGGTTGTGGAGTCTCCTTCTCTGGAGATATTCAAAACCTGCCTGGACAATGTCCTGTGCAACCTGCTCTAGGTGAACCTGCTTTAGGATGGGGGTTGGACTGGATGATCTCCGGAGGTCCCTTCCAACCCTTGCCATTCTGTGATTCTGTGATACATGAAATTGACAATTTTGTTGACATTGCATTCTTTGGTATAAAAGTAGACCTAACAAAAATTAAAAAAAAAAAAAAAAAGGAAGGAAGAAAATTTCAATTTCAGTTACATACTTCAAATTGTCCTGAAAGAAAGTTATTTCTTTCAATATTTACCTCCTACAAAGTATACCACCAGTCAGCAAAGAAAACTCTTTTGTTATCCAAAGATGCGCTTTCTCTTTGTTGGGAACTCTCTTTCTCAGTCTTTTTTGCTTTCTTGTGCAGGCTTCCCTTCTTGCACTTGCTTTCCTGGCCGCCCTCTCTTGCACCCGCTCTCTCTCTTATGGGCACTCACTCTGTCTTGTGCCTGCTCTTACACAAGCCCGGTCCCTCGTGTGCCCTCACTCTTTCTCGGTCCCTCACTCCTTCCCACACTTGTGCCCTTTTTTGAGCCTACCCTTTTTTGAGCCCTTGCACTCTCTCTTCGTACCACCCAAGCTCTCTCATTCTGACACTCAGTCTCTCTGCCCCCCGCCCCCTCTCTCTCTCCCCCATGCACTTGCTCTTTCTCACAGCTGATAATGCTCTTTCTTGTGGTCATTCCCTGTCTCTCAACCTGTTCTCTTTCTTGTGTCCTTACTCCCTTCCTGACAGTCCCGTTCTCATGACCTCACCCCCTTTCTTGTGACCTCACACCCTTTCTCTCAACTTTATTCTTGTTCTTTCTCATGCTCTCACACTCATTTTTCCATGCATGCTTTCTCTCTTTCTGCCATATTCTCTTTTGGTTTCAGGTGCAGTCCCTCTCTCAATCCTTTTTTATCTCTATCTCCCCCTCCTCAGTCTCTCCCTCTTTCTTCCTCACGCCCCACTCTCCCTTTTCAAGCACTTGCCCTCTCTCATGCTCTTGCTTTCTTGTGCTCATGTGCTATTTTGGCCTCAGCCCTACCCCTTCTTGCACTCACCCTTTCCTGCGCACTCATGCTCTCTCTTTCCCGCATGAGCTTTCTTTTTTTGTGAGTACGCTTTCTCATGTGCATGCTCGCTCTCTTTCACATGTAGTCTCTCATTCTCCCTCTCACATACACATTTTTTCTCAGATGCACACTCTCGCACATGCAGGCTTCCTTTCTCATGATCTCTCCTTTTCCCATGCCTTTGATTTTTTTTTTTTTGTGTGCATTCCCTTTCTGGGGTGCTCCCCCTTTCTTGTTGCCTTGCTTTTTTGGTGCCCTCCCCCTTTCTTGCACCCTTCCTATGTTCCCCTAAGAAACATACTTGCTGTTTCTTATGTAACCACAATCTCACATGCTTACGTGCTTTATCCCACCCTTGTGCCTTCCTTTCTTGTGCCCACCCCTTCCACGCCCTCACACTCACCATCTCTCACATGTGCTTTTTTCTCATGTGGTCTTTCACATGCACTCTTTATCTACCTCATTCTTTAGCACTCTTCCTCACTCTTGCGTGCATGCACTCACTCTTTCTCATGCCTTTGCTCTCTTGCTC